TTGGACTTTAATTTTGGATGTGGTACAACTGGAAACATGAAAACACGACTTTGAAAACAGAAGTTTGGAATGGAATCAGCAGCAGTACCACTTATTGAACGCATTAACCTCATGATCTTACATCCAGCATGCTTTTATTTAAAACCCCCGTACTTTCCTCTATGTGTTGACAGAACCTGAAAATAAACAGGTTGATCCCGGGCAGACCAGGAGGAAATGGCTGCTGGTCCGATCTGAGAGTGAGGACAGTTTGTGTGATAAAGACATCAGGGTTTCGGGCGGTCTGCTGAGTTCGTCGTCATCCGTCGCCCGGGCAAAATGGCTAATCCCACTTTGTAATACTCTTAGAATCAATCAGTTCTAGGGGGCTTTGGCCACACCCACCAATGCGGGCCTGAGGGTGCGACCGTGTAGTTTGTAGCCCACTTTAGTTACCACAGCGACGGTTCCGGGCTCTTTGCCTTCCACGGGCGCGTGGAAGAGGGCCTCGTGCTCGTAGGGGTCAAACTTCTGGCCTTCAGGGTTGAGCTTGACCAGGCCGTACTTGGTGAACACCTTCTGGATCTGGACCTCGGTCATCACCAGGCCGTCGTACAGGTTCTTCAGGTGAGGGTTCTGACTCGTCACCTCCTCCTTCGGGACGCTCTCTGTGGCCTTCTCCAGGATGTCTGCCACCTCCAGCAGGTCCTTACAGAAACTTTGGATACCTGGAGAAGACGGAGGGTAGGATTGCTGAAGACATTACCTGCATAAAGTTAGGCTAAAACTTCTGTTAAGTAACCTGATCACAGCACAGAGGAACCAAAGCTTTTTAAACCTTTTTATTTTAACATGATGGAAGGATTTTCAATAGCTCTTCTATGACATCTAGTGGTATAAATGTGGAACTGCAGAGCGTCATTTCAGCTTTATTTAAAAATGAAAAGAGGTTGTTTACCATACAACTTTGCGTCCTCCACCATCCTTTGACTTCTGTTCCTCAAGTTCTCCGTATCTGCGAGAGCTCTCTTATACTTCTCCTGCAAACGACACAGAGTAAAGAAGTTAAAGAAAAAGAAATTCAGTTAACGGATCAACCCTGGGAAGCATGGATTTTTTTTTAGACTTAGACAAACTGTCATTTTGTAAACACA